TTTTATTATATTGATTTGGCCTGCCTGTGAGCAATTAATGTTTTTCTAATTATTTTGGTATGTCTTTATTTCCATAAACAGTGTTTTGTAGCTTTATGCCTGTAAGTTCTTTTGAGTTATCAAGGTAAGTAGATTCCCAAGCATTTTCTAGTCCTGTTATTATTTTAAATGCAATTTCTCTTTCTAGCTCTTCCTACTGGGTTTTATTGACATCATATAAAAATTCTGTTGATTTGCATGGATTTATTTTACATCTTGCCACTCTGCTGAAGTTATTACTTGTTTCGATTAATTTTTATTTGATTATTTTCTGCAAAAAGTGGTAATTTTGTTTCATCTTTTCCTATGCTTATTCCCACAATTTCTTTTTCTTATCTTATTACTATACCCAACATTTCTAACACTTTGTCAAATAGAAATTATAAGAAGGACATCCTTGCATCACTCCTGATCTTACTGGAAAGGACTCTACTTTATCTCCATTACATATTTGCCATATAAAAAAAAAGAGGTCCGTTTATTCCTATGTTTCACAGTGTTTTTCAAAGAAATGGGTGTTATAGTTTGTCAAAAACTTTGTCTGCATCTGTTCATGATTTTACTGACTATTAAAGTGGTAGATGTTTGAGGTTTTTTTAATATTAAGTCAACTCTATAGTCCTGGAATAAATAAGAACGGTAGTATATAATCTTTGCGATATGATATTGTAGTCTCTTTGCTAATATGTCATTTAGATTTTTACATTAATATTCATTAGGGATAATTGTCTCTAGCTCTCTTTCTCTGTTTTAAGAGTATACATGAGGGAGACAAATACATGTAAAAATATACACAGGATGAATAAAGACTTACTAAACAGAAATGCATAAAAAGCAATTAAATTCTAGGTAGTTTGAGAGGGAGGGCACTAGCAGTTATATGATTTGCCCATTGTTAAATAACCTATGTACAAATAAACTCAGATCTAAATAATTGGAAAAACATCAGTTGCTCATGGGTAGGCCAAGCTAATATTAAAAAAAATGACAATTCTACCTAAATTAGTTTACTTGTTCAGTGCCACACCAATCAAATTACAAAAAAAAATTATTTTAGAGAGGTAGAAAAAATAACAAAATTCATCTGGACAAAAGGTCCAAAGTATCAAGGGAATACTGAGTTCAAATCCGGCCTCAGACACTTGACACTTACTAGCTGTGTAACCCTGGGCAAGTCACTTAACCCCACTGCCTAACAAAAAAAACCAATAAAACCAAAATATCGAGGGAATTAATACCAAGAAATGCAAGGGAAGGTGATCTAGCCATACCAAATCTTAAATTGTATTATAAGGCAGCAATGATCAAAACTACTTGGTACTGGCTAAGAAATAGTGGTGGATCAGTGGAATAGGTTAGGTATACAATACACAGTAGTCAATGACTCTAGTAATCTACTATTTGATAAACCCAAAGACCCCAGCTTCTGGGATAAGAACTCACTATTTGACAAAAACTGCTTAGAAAATTGGAAAATAGTATGGCAGAAACTGGGTATAGACCAGTATCTTACATCATATACCAAAATAAAGTCAAAATGGGTATAAGATTTACACACATAGGGTGAGACTATATGCCAACTAGAAGAGCAAGGAATAGTTTACCGGACATATTTATGGAGAACAGAAGAATGTATGGCCAAACAAGAGATAGAAAATATTATGAAATACAAAATGGATAATTTTGATTACATGAAGTTGAAAAGTTTTTGCACAAAGCCAATGCAACCAAGATTAGGAGGGAAGCAGAAAACTGGAAAAGAATTTTCATAACCAGTGTCTCTGATAAAGTCCTGATTTCTAAATATATAGAGAACGGAGTCAAATTTATAAGAATACAAGTCATTCGCCAATTGATAAATGGTCAAAGGATATAAACAGGCAGTTTTCAGAGGAAGAAATTAAAGCTGTCTATAGTCATATGAAAAAATACTGTTGATTAGAGAAATGCAAATCAAAACGACTTTGTGGTACCACATCACACTTATCAGATTGGCTAACATGACAAAACAGGGAAATGATAAGTGCTGGAGAAGATGTGAGAAAACCGGAACACTAATGCTGGTGGAGTTGTGAAATGATCCAACCATCATGGAGAGCAATTTGGAACTATTGTGTACACCTTTCAACCCAGCAGTAGCACTTCTAGGGCTGTATCCCAAAGAGATCATACAAATGGGAAAAGGACCCACATGTATAAAAATATTTATAGCAGCTCTTTCTCTGATGGCAAAGAATTGGAAATTGAGGGGATGCCCATCAGTTGGGGAATGGCTGAACAAGTTGTGGTATACAAATGTAATGGAATACTACTGTGCTGTAAGAAATGATGAGCAGGCAAACTTCAGAAAAACCTGGAAAGACTTATATGAACTGATGCTGAGTGAAGCGAGCGGAACCAGGAAAACACTGTACACAGTAACAGCCACATCATGCAATGACTTTGATAGACTTATTTCTTCTTAGCAATGCAAGGATCTAAGACAACTCCAAAAGACTCATGATGGAAAATATGTCCACATCCAGAAAAAGAACTATGGAGTCTGAATGCAGTCAGAAGCATCTTATTTGCTCACTCTCTCTCTCTCTCTCTTTTGTTTTTTGTTTCTTCTTCCTTGTGGTTTCTCCCATTGGTTCTAATTCTTCTTTACATGACTAATGTGAAAATAATAAAAAATAAAAATTTTAAAAAACCTATATATGCCAGAGACAGGACCTGAATGCAGGTCTTCCTGACTCTAAGGCCATCTCTCCATCCACTTTGTCACAGTACTTCTGATTTCTGATAGGAGTAGGTGTTTAACAACTATCTAATTAATTTAAGTGAATGGCAGAAGACAGAGATAAAAGACTAAGAGGTCTAATTTGGAGAGAAAATTTTAAGAATCAACTTAGAAATGATGACTGCAATGAGGAGAAGACAGGTTCTCCAAAGGAGTGAGCATAAGGGAAAAACAAGAAGAAAACCATGAACATGGCCTTGAGTAACAGAGCAGTAAGAAAAGAATCCTGAAAAAAAACTAGGAAAAAGGAATCGAAGAGGTAGGAGAACAATGAAGAGGGCAAAGTTTTACAGAAACATAAGGAGGAAACAGTTTAAGAGGGAAAATAGTGACCCAGACTGTCAAATACAGATACAAGAAGTGAGAAAAATCATTTCATAAGTAATGACAACCTTCAAGGCATGGCAGTGGGGAAGCCAGAAGCCAGACTGAAAAATGTTCAGGATGGACAGAAGGGGTGGTAATGACATTCAGAAAGTATAAATAGTACACCTATACTAGTTACTGATTCATTAAAAGTAGAAGGGATAGGGTCAATAAAAGGTTTTATCAAGGTAAGGTGACAGACATTCATGAACAAAGAAAATGGCTGAGAGGGAAAGACTAAGGCTTTTATAAGAGCAAAATAAGAGTTGAGGTAATATCCCCTACGGTACTGGTCAAGGAGTCAGGCTATCTGGGTTCCTGTCACAATCTGTGCCCCTAATGAGTTGTATGAAGGTAGGCGAGTCGCTTTTAGATCTGTATTCAATGGTAAAATAGGGGTAGTTACAGCAATACAACTCTAAGAATTTATAAATGAAGTTCAAAGGGATGGCATGAATAATACATTTCATAAAAGGCTGAAGGATATGAATAGGCAGTTTTCAAAAAAAAGAAATCCAAACTATCAAGAGTCATATTAAAAAATACTCCAAATCGCTAATAATTTGAGAAATGCAAATTAAAACAATTCTAAGATTCCATGCAGCCACACAACTGGCAAAGATAACCCAAAAAAGAGAAAATGGCAAATGTTAGAGGGGCTACAGGAAAATAAGCAGATCAATGCACTGTGAGTAAAGTAGTAAACAAATACAGCCATTTTGGAAAGCAATTTGGAACTATGTACAACAATGCACTAAACTTTTAAACTCACTGATACCACTACTAGGCCTATGTTACAGAGATCAAAGAAAGAAAAAGATAAGTATGTTTTAAAATATGTATAGTAGCACTTTTCATAGTGTTAAAAAACTGGAAATTAAGGAGGTGTCCATCATTTAAAATAAATTATGGAACCTGAATTAATGGGATGCTATTGTGTATAAGAAATGACAAAGGTGATGGTTTAAGAAAAACCTGGGAAAACTTGTATGAGCTGATGCAGAGGGAAGTAAGAACCTATACAATAACAGCAACACTGTAAAGATAATCAGCTTTGAAAACCTTAATAACTCTGATCAATGCAATGTCCAATCATGATTCCAGTGGACCAAGACTGAGAGGTGAGTCTCAAGATGCAGAATGAGAATTGTAATTTTTGGACATAACCAATATAGAATTTTTTTTTGCTTAACTATGCATACTTGTTATGAGGGTTACTAAATGAAAAAATTTAATTTAATTTAAAAAAATACATTTTAAAGCCAGGCAGAAAGAAAAAAAAATAACATCAAGGTGACAAAATGTTATATTCAGCTTGCCATTCCTTATGGCAAAAAGTCCATAACTAAAAAATAAGTGGCATGATAAAAATCATGAATCTTATTCTTTGTCATTTTAGGGGTGTATCTTCAAGATGATACAACTACTTGGTCAGTCTCAAAACTCAAAACCTTGATATTTTGACCCTTGCCCCCTCCGTCTCTTACATCTCACCTTTAAATAAGTCCTATCACTTCTCCCTCTATAATATCTACTCCCTCCTCTCCCCAATTCCAATCAATTGTACAGTCTCCCAAATTTACCTTATGAGCCAATCATATTACTTCTCTGCTCAAAATTCTATGGCCTACTGTAGGAAGTCTGAGCTTACCAGCTTGACATTCAAGACCCTCCACAATCTGGCAGTACCTTTTAAGCTCTGTGTGATATGACACACCTCCATGAATTCTGTGTTCCAGTCAAACAAAATGGCTTGTCCTGCCCATTTACACACATTACACTCTCCTAAAACTACAAAGCAAAGAGTCCTTACCATTAATAGTAATCTGCCCTGTGCTCCGAGGGACACCAACCAGTGTCACTGGATAAAGTCCAGATTCAGCAGGGAGAGAAAGAGCTGCAGGAAGAGATTCGAATTCCACTCCACTTGTAAGGAGACCCTAAAACAGAGAAAATTATATAAGCACACAGAGACAATACTTATATCTGTTATAATTTTGTTCTACATTGAGCCTAGTGGTAAGATGATTTATTAAAGCTGAAGATCTGTCAAAAGATGAATAAAAATAATAATCTGAAAGATTTTTACAAGTATCTACCATTATTAACGATGAATAATGAGAGCTAGTATTTACATAATACCATAAGGTTTTTAATACACTTTTTAAGGTACTTTTAACAGAGGTTGAAATTATGATTAACACAAAATAATTCTTCCATCCTCTCCTAACTTTGCCTGTTGACAGCCTAAACATTCTACCATTCTCTCAAGCTAATATATATCCCCATCTCTTTCACAGCTAAAGTCCTGGAAAAGGCTGTCTACACTTGTCGATGCTTTCTCACTATCCATTCATTTCTCCAGACCTTGCAATCTGATTTCCACCCCCACACTACTCAGCTGACGCTGTTCTCTCCAAAGTTATCAATGATTTCTTTGTTGCTAAATCCAATGGCTTTTTTTCATCCTTCATCCTCTTTGCCTTTCCACAGCATTTGGCACTGTGAACTACTTTCTCCCTTCTGGATAATCTTCCCTGCATCACCTCCTCTATGACCAATCCTTCTCAGTCTCCACTAAAGACTCTTCATTCCATGTCCTGCCTCCTATGCATAGGTAAACCCCAGAGTTCCATCCTGGACATTCTTGTCTGTTCTTTTTCACTGATCAGCAGCTCTTACGGGTTCATACGTCATCTCTATGCCTAATCTGTACAACCGTCTTTCAAATCTCTCCTGAATTCCAATCCTCTACCTCTTTGATACCTGGGTGACATATCCACATGGATGTCACATAGGCATCTCAAATACATATGTCTAAAACCTTAATTATCTTTCCCCCTTAAATTATCCCTCCCCCTAACTTCTCTATTTTTGTGGAGGGTACCATAACACAGGTTCATAACCCACTCTTCATTCTCATTTAATTGTTAATCTAATCAACTGCCAAGTCTTGTCGATTCTACCACCACAACATCTCTCACAAACACATCTCTCTCTCTCTCCACTTACGCAGTTTCTTATAATCTTTTATCTCAACTATTAGCTTCCTAATCGAAGTCCCTGCCCCTCAGCCACTTTCTTGTACAAACTGTCCTCCTCACAGCTGATAAACTGATACCCTTAAAGCAAAAATCTGGCCAGATGAATGTGGCAGGACACACCTGAGATCTCTGCTATTGGGGAAGTTGAGGCTGGCAGGTATATATTCCAAGGAGGTAAAAGACAGGAAGAAAGGTCCTATATACACTTATCCCTTCCACATCACTGAGGTGAGGACCACAGTGCCCCTGCAATCTGGAAAACTTGCATAAAATTTTTGGCCCTCCCTTTGTACCAGAGAAGAAGACTAAATGTTTCTTTTCCTTTTATGGGGTGTTTATAGCACCTTACTGTAAAATTGGGTTGACATTATGCAACACTATACTATATTTATGCATTTCTGAGTTTCTAAACTTCTTCTGTATCTCCTGACCTTCATGCATCATCTGCAGCTTCTGCAAAAACTCCCAAAAAATTCTCATTTAATTTCTTATGCCAACCTGCGATATATCAAAATCACAATGGAGAAAGTGGAAGTCGCAATGTGGAAGGGATAAGTATAGAAAGATGGTGTTTTTTATAGTAACTAAGAACTCAGTGGAAGTTGGGTATTCATAGATTAGAGAAGGCCTACAGAAAATGGAGTACATGAATATAATGATATCGCAATATAATACTATTGTAAAATAAGAGATAATGAATAAAAAGAATTGAAAGAAATTCTGGAAGATTTAAATGAACTAATGCAGAGTCAAGTAAACAGGATTAGTTGAAAATCTTAAACAGAGATCACAAAGGAAGGCAATACTGAAGGACTTCACAATTCTGAACAATGCACTAAGCAATCATAACTTCAGAAGACTGAAAGTGAATTATGTCCCTCGACCCTTTGGCAAAGAGTTGGTACGCAGATGGAGAATAAGACAAAGATTTTCAAACATGGCCAAAGAGATGATTTGTTTTATTTGACTATACTATGCAAGTGAGGGCTATTTTATGGGACTGTGGAAATACCTGGCTTTGACTGTAACTCCACAATAAAGCCTCAGGCAAAAAACAAAAAACAAAAAATAGCCTGGTATTTGCCTATATTCTATAGGAGTACCTGGAGGAAATTAAAGACAAGATAAAAAATGGAAAAGCCAGGGAAAAAAAAGAACAGCAAGGAAAATTTCTGACTCAAAAATAAATGCTCTTAAAATTAAAATGAGTCAGGCAGAAAACAATGATTCAACAACACAATAAGAAATAACAAAACAAAATTTAAAATTTTTAATTTATAAATTTTAAGAAATAAAATATCAGAAACAACTAACCTGGAAAACAAATCTAAAGGAGGTAATCTATGAATTCTTAGACTCTTTAAAAATCATGACCAGAAAAAAGTCCAGATAGCATATTGTAGAATATTATGAGTAAAAATTACCCCAAGTTCTTAGAACCAAACGGCAAAGTGAAAATAAAAACAATCCAACAATCACTTCTAGAAAGAAACCCTAAAATGAAAACTCTCAGAACTATCATAGCCAAAATCTAGAGCTTCCAGGTAAAATTAAAAAATACTCAAAGAAACCAAAAAGAAATTCATATACCAAGAAGCCATAATATGTACCATATAAAACAGCATTTGCCACTATAAAGAAGAGGAGAGCTTGGAATAGTATATTCCAAAAAGAGAGAGATAAAGAATTTCAACCAAAGATAATCTATCTTCATGGCAAAACTGAGTATAATCCTATAGAAGGGAAAATGGATTTTTAAAGGAAGAGAGGATTTTTAAGCATTCCTGACAAAAAGACCAGAACTCAATAAACATTTGGAAATGGAAATGGAGATATCAAGAGAAATACAAAAATGTACATGTATTTTTATAATTTAAAGTTAATATGTGAGAACAAATTGTTTACTCATTAATGGGTAGTCAAGAAATAAATGTCTTGTAAGAACTCTAATATCTTTCCGTGTAATAGGAAAAAAACATAATGACAATTTCTGTGGGTGTTTTTGTTCTATGTAATGGTTTTAGGGGAAAAAATTTTTAAAGGACAGGGGACTTACACTACTGGAGAGGAAAGGAGAACGAAGGGGAAGGAAATCATAACGAGGTTCATAATATGAAGAATATACAATCATAGAAAAGGAGGAGGGAGGAGGAAAAGGCATTCCATGATTCTCACTTTTATCTGAATCAGATAAAGGAAGACTGAATACAATTACACACAGAGAGGTCTCAGTATAGAAATATATTAACTCAAAAGAGAAATTGGAAGGGACAGGGGCAAGGGGAAAGGGAGGTGTCTAAGAGGTAAAGCAAGGTAGGTAAATGAACAATCATAACCAAAACAAACTCAAATGTTGGCAGAAAGAACATGAAGGAATGATTAAAGGAAAGAAAGAAAGAATAGAAACCTGGGATCCTGAGGCAGGAAGATATGACTACAGCTATAACAGTGAGAACACAAAAATGCAATCCTCTTCAGGATTTATCTCCTGGGAGACTCTAGGCCTAAGAATTTCCACAATCCCATAAAATAACCCTCACTTGTACAGTCAAGTAAAACATCAACTCATAGGCCACGTTTGAAAATGTTTGTCTTATTCTCCACCTGCTTAATTGCCAAGGAGAGGAGAGGCATGCTTCACTTTCAACCTTCTAAAGTTATGATTGTTCCCTGCATTGTCTACTTAAGAGATCACAAAAATGGGGCAAAATCCTCTCTTCTACCACTTTCTTCTTATTTGTGAAGAGGGAGGTGGGAAGAAACAAAGAAAAAAGCAAAAGAGACCAGGATGAAGGTAAATACAAAATTAACAGTTAGAACCATGGATGTGAATGGAAAAAATCATTCATGATACAAAAACAGATGGCAGACAGGATTAGAAAACAGGACCCACCAAAGAGTGTCTATAAGAAATACACTTGAAACATAAAGATGAATATGGAGCTAAAATGAGAGCCAAAACAAAATTTATTATGCTTCATCTGAACTCAAAAATGCTGGAGTAAAGATCAATTTCATATTTGACTATAGTAAATATGGAAAAGATTAAGATATAAGCAGGGAAATTATGATAAAAAAGCGCCATAAGTATTGAATCATTATTACTTGATTTATATGTACCTAATAACATAGCATCTAAACACTCAAAGGAAATGTTATTTGAAATGGGGAGAGAAATAAATAACAAAACTATAATATTAGAAGAGTTTATTGTATCCTTTTCAGACCTAAAAAAAAATCTAAACAAAAGATAATAAGGAAAGGAGTTAGAGACATGAATTGAACTTTAGAATATTAAAGATGATGGGTCTCTGGAAATTAGTGAATGAGAACAGAAGGAAATGATATACTTCTCAGCTGTATATGGAACCTTTCCAAAAAATTACTATGTGTTGAGGCAGAAAATCATCTCCAAAAAATATAGAAAAGCAGAATTACTATAAAATATCATTTATTCATCATAATGCAATAAAATATTATATTCAATAAAGGGCCTTTAAGGGAAGAATTTAAAAATAACATGGCTCTAGAGAACAGATGGGTCAAAGAACAAATTATAGAAACAATAGAAAATTTTACTTTAAAAATGGTAACAAGGAGACAACATACTAAAACTTATGGGATGCAACTAAAGCAATTCACAGGGAACAATGTATACTTCTAAATCCCTAGTCCTCAAACTATGTACTACTGCCCCAAAGGGACAAAGTGAACTCACAGGGGCCCTCTGGGATATATTAAACATTCAAAAGAAATACAGCAGTACTCAACATCTGTCAGACATTGCCTGAACTACTACTAGCTCAAAGTAGTTCACAGTTTCACACTAGATCTTGCTATACTCCTTTTGCTGATATTCTCAAATATCTGGAATGTGTTTTCATGTACTTTTATCT